TTCAACAACAATACTTAACAAAATCTCAAGGTTATTCCAATCAATGTCGAGTCGATGGGATCAATGGAAGTTTGAAAGTAAGGTTCAATTGTGATCAGGTCTTTCATGAAGAATCCTACAAACATCTGAGCTAATCATTTTATCATCGGTTCTTTATCATTGCTTCTATTTCAAGTTTTAGATTCCTTTAAACGGATCTTGATTCTTCATGTCATTCAGATGTTTGGAAATTATAATTTATAACGTACAAAAAGAGTAATTTGAAAGAGAAGTGATACTTAAAAGTTGAAACTTTTCAATTTGTTTAATTTTTGTTGTCTTTCAATGCAATGAGTGCCAATGACACCATCAAATCAGTTTGTTCAAAGTGGTTCAACTCATCCAAACAAACTAAGACTGTTGAAATAAATACACACTAAATCAATTGAAAGAATAAAGACCAAGATGTATTTTAATCAGGAATCGAGAGGATTTTTGAGAACGCTTGTCCGTCTCGAGTCTCAAGAGTCAACTCTCATCTTAAGAAGATAGAACTATTGACCCATTTTATTTTCAGTTTTAACTTTCAAGTGTGATTCCATCTTTTTCATCATCAACCTTTTCAAGATGGAAGATGTTAGTATTACTACAGATTCCTCATCCATTGGAAACTCTCAACTAGCAGGTACCTCAGGCAAACGTAGTTGGGTTTGGACCTACTTTCAAGAACTACCTCAAGAAGGAAAAGTTGAATGCAATGTTGTCCTTGATGATGACTCTGCATGTGGCAAAACTTTGAAGAAGGATTCCACAGGCAGTACAAAGAGCATGTCCGATCACTTGTGTTTAGTACACAAGATAGGTGATCCGGTTAAACGAGCCAAACGGCAAGCGATGATTGAAAATAGGACTAACAAGACCGATGATAACGTGTGTTGTTTTCCTTAATGTGTACTCAATTTTGAACTGATATGTTATTCTACAGAAACCATTGACGAGCCACAATCTCAAGACTGCAATGACCTATTTTCTATGTGATTGTGATCTTTCTTTTGAAATGATGGAGAAGAAGTCTTTTGTAGATCTTCTCAAAATCTGCAATCCTCAGACTGAGGCCCTTATAGTGAAAAAGGATGCAATTTCTCGACATTTACGCGAAGTTTTTTTATTTCATCAAGAGTTCTTACAAGAACAAGTATTGGCAAATGCAACTGGTGTTGCATATACTCTGGATGCTTGGACATCTCCAAACATGACCGCTTTCATGGCCATAACAGCTCATACAATCAATGAAAACTTTGAGAAGGTAGATGTAATACTTCGGATCCCTCATATTGAAGGTGATAATTTCTCTATAGATTTTCAAACTTTGAATAATCACTTGCTGATGTTCCTGTTTTGTAGGATCACACACAGGACAGTCCTTTGCCGATTTATTTTGCGAGACCCTCAAAATCTACAAAGGTTCAAATAACATTGTTGCCATTACAGCTGACAATGCGTCTTCAAATAGGAGTATGGCCCGAGCAATTCAGCAACAAACTGGAGGGTTGTTTGATGCAGGAAAAGATCTCCTAGGATGTGTTGCACACGTCTTGAATCTTGCAGCACAGGATGGCCTCAAATTATTTGGAACACTTGATGAAAATGAAGACAACCTTGATTCGAATCAACCGGGTCCCATGGATATAGGAAATCTAGTCACTGAACCGGACGGAGCCCAAATAGATCTTGCTTCAGTTTATAAACGTGTACATGGTCTAGCTCTTTACACTTGTGCAACTCCTCAACGTCGTGAAGGTTTCAAGAAGTTCATCAGCTTATTTCCCACCAACAATCAACCCAAAGATCCTCAAATGCAATGTCTGATTCTTGATGTTAGAACTCGATGGAACTCTACATTTGCTATGTTTGAGTGAGCTTTACTCTTAAAGTAGGTGAGTTTGCTTGATTATACATAGCACAACTAAAACTCATCTTGTGCTGCTTATGATTAGGAACGCATGCAATCATTTCTGTGACACTCCTGAAGGAGAGAAATTTAAGCTTACTTCCGAAGAATGGAAATCAGTAGAGAACATGATGAAATTTCTCAAACCTTTGAGTGAGGCAACTGATAAGCTATGTGCTACTCGATATCCAACAGTCAACACAATAATACCCATGTATGTAGCGGTCATCAATAGACTTCAAGCGGTAAGTCATCATATCTCAGAGGCTTCTTATTGCCGACTCAATCATCTAACCAACTGTATCTTTCAGGTTTGTAGCACCTACGACCTGACATCACTGATTCCAGCCGCGAACGATATGATCAATAAGTTGGAGACCTACCTATCCAAAGTTCTCACCCGGCGAGCACCAATCTGTGCAACAATCCTGGATCCACGCTTTAAGCTCAACTTTTTCCAAACTCATTCCGATTCAATGTCTGGATACAATTTAACAACTGAGCAGCTCAGGTCTCATTTTGTTACTGAGGCTGAGAAGTTCAGCCCGCCGGAAGAACTGCTGAGCTCGGGTCCCCCACAACCATCAACATTTACTTCTTTGCTTGATGAGGACTTGTTTGGATCATTGACTTACGATAATCCTTCAATTCAGAATGAGATTGCTCGCTACCTCTCGGAACACCTCGAGAAACAAGGCAGAGATGTGTTAGAGTATTGGAGAGGGAGTCAAACCACTTATCCTTGCCTCGCACGCATGGCTAGAACTTTCCTGGCGATTCCTGCAACTAGTACTCCCTCCGAACGAGTCTTCTCTCAAGGTAGAGGACTCCTTCGCTATCAGCGCTCATCATTAAAACCCAAAAATTTAGAAATGCTCCTTTGTGTAAAAGAATGGTATCGGGCATTTGGTGCATTATACATACAATGCTGATGCTATAGTCTGATTTCACCTCGATATGTTGATTGTTCAATGTTCACTTCACAAGTAACACATTCTTGTAATCTCATTAAACCTACAGTCTTCTCAAAATCATTTCACCTGTTTTCTTACTTTACAAAATGATTGAGTACAACAATTGATAATGAAGAAGTGATGAAGGAGATGGTTCTACTTTGATTCGGATAGGTTCTTGATGATGAAGTTCCTCAGTTTCAATTTCAGTTTCATTTTCAGCTTCAATTTCAATTTCAATATCAGTTTCAATTTCAGTTTCAATTTCTTCTTGAGATTCATCTTGAGAATGTTTATGTTCTTCTTCTTGTGCTGGTTAATTGTGATTTGGAAATGAGGTTGAAGTAATTTGATCAGTTCTAGTTTTGATAGTTGTACTTCGAGATCTTCTTCTAAACTTTGATCGATGTGATTTGAATTCGACATTACTTCCTGAGCTCGTCATCCTTTGGGAGTCGTTCGAAGACTCTTTGGCCTACGATTTCTCAAGATTGATTCGCAGAATCCCCGGCATTCCCCGTCCCCGTCCCCGAATTTCCCCGAATTCGAGGAACAGAAACGATCCCCGAATTCGGGGACGGGGATAGGGGATCTCCGAATGAATCGGGGACGGGGCAAGGGCCTAGTCACTCATCCACGTGTGAAGGCTTACATGGAGAATGTAAGCCTTCTCACGTGGATGAAGATGAGGAGTAAGTATTGATATAAGTGGACTGGAAGTGATCTCAATACTCTGTTTGAAATACAGAGGATGACCTCATGCCATAATACCACATCTTGAATCTTTGACAACTTTGCTTGAGCAGACCCACGGCTATGTAAAAGTGTTTAAGTAAAAAAAAATTGGAAGGAGGTGTTGGATGGCTAAAGTGTTACATAAGACTGGCGTTGAAAAGTGATTTTGTCATCTGGGGGGAGAGATAACAGGCATTTTCTCAAGTTTTCAATGAGTTATGGAGGATTATTTTTGTTGAGCGGGAAAGTGAAGGTGG